TGTTTTGTGTGTAGACAAGCTAGTCTAAAAGGCATGAACCTCAGCTTCCTGAGTGCTGGGATTAAAGGTATGCACCACCACCACCAGGCCCAAGGCTAATTTTTAATTTCTCTTTTTTTAAAAATGATATTAGTAATTGACTTGCTAGTCGAGTACTCTACCACAGAACTACATTCCTTAGGATTTCTGCTTTGGTTTCTCAAGATAGAGTCTAGCCTGGAACTTAATATATTGCTGGGAATGACCTTGAACTCCCAATCCTTCTGCCCAAATGTGATGACAGGCTTGTGATGCCGTACAGGGCCTCCATGGCTCATTGTGTGTGTGTGTGTGTGTGTGTGTGTGTGTGTGTGTGTGTGTGTGTGTGTGTGTGTGTGTCCGTCCGTCCCCATATGTGTTCACAGGCTAGAAGGAGGTGTGGGCTTCCTTGGATCTAGAGTTCCAAATGTTTACAGGACACCCAGCTTTTGTGTGTGTGTGCTTGGATCTGAACTCCAGCTCACATGACTGTGTAGCAAGTGCTGTTGACCATTAAGCCACCTCTCCAGCTCCCCAGGGCTAATTTTTCTATTTCTTCCCCCAACCATGGCTATTTTTTCATTTTGTTGTTGTTTTGTTTTGTTTTTTTAATTATTATTTTTTTAAACAAGGGGTTTCTCTGTAGCCCTGGTTGTCCTGGAACTCACTCTGTAGACCTGGTGGCCTCGAATTCACAGAGATCTCCCTGCCTCTGCCTCCAGAGTGTTGGGATTAAAGGTGTGAGTCACCACCACCTGACTTAAATATAATTTTTATTTAAAATATGATTACACAATCTCCTCCTTTCCGTTTTTCCTTCTGATCCCTCCCATGTACCCAGCCCTCCTTGCTCGCCCTCAAATTCATGACTAATTTTTAAAAGTGAACTTCTGAGGTGGCGGGCAGGCTTTAGCTTGAGGACTTTAACCTTATTTGAAACAAACTGTTAAGAATATTAAAGTCTGACCCTTTTGAAGCAGTTCTTGGTTGATAAATGCCAGTGCGAACTGCCTTAGACTTCAGCTTCCTTACGTCTAAGCCTAATTCAGCTAACTGGGAGGTGAGCTCCTCGAGGATAAGGCAGCTAGCACAGGATGAAGCAATAGGGGTTGCTCAAAGGTCTAACTTTTGGGAAAGCTGGAGACATGGCTCAGTGGTTAGGAGAGCTTGTTGCTCTTACAGAGGATCCAATTAGTTCATAGAACACATCAGTCATCTCACAACCACCTGTAACTCCAGCTCCAGGAGATCTGACAGCTTCTTCCAGGCTCCAGGCACCCACATACATCCACACAAGAATAAAAAATAAAATACATTTTAAAGGCATATCATTTTTTAAGGGCCTCTATTGAAATCCCAATTTTGTTGTCTTTTATTTTTCTTTTTGCCTCGCTTAAACTTAAAGCGTGTCCGTATACTAAGGAGTCCGCGAGTTCTATTCCTGTGACTATCCATCAGTGACTTGTTTTCTGTATTGTAACACGTAGAATCTGCCTTTTGATCATACTTATGCTTGTTTGTGTATGTGTTTGGCATCCTCCATTGTAGGTCACTGATTTTTAAATGGTCCCCTAAACTACATGTGCTCCATTTGGAAGGAGAGAGATCTTCCACATTGCAATTAGAGGAACCAGTATATTGTTCCTAATGTACACTAAGAAAACCTTTGATAAGGAGCTGTTGTCAAGCTATCTTGCAAGCACTGAAGCACAAAGAAAACAAGATAAATAGACAGAAACCCTATCCAAAGATACATTAATTCTTTATGACAGTTATTTGAGTAGATAGGGTAGTAGGCATGCAGGTAGAAGTTAGGGATAGCTTGAAGGGTTTGGTCTTCTCTACCCTATATATAAGTCCCAGGGATCAAACTCAGGTCATCAGGCTTGGTGACAAGTGCCTTTACCCACTGAACCATCTCACCAGTTCCCCAAAGATATTTTTGAAAAACGTGTCTTTAAAATTACTAAAATTCAAATAAAAATTGGTCTGAGTTTTCACCAGAATTTGAATCAAATATGGCATTTCTTGAGCTATTGCAGAGCTCTGGGCATAGGTCAAAGTTCCTTGTTCAAGATGGCCATGGTGTGTGTTTTGTGTGCCTGTGTAATCTCAGCACTGAGGAGGTTGAGGCAGGAGGAATAAGAGTTCAAAGCCAAACTGGGCTCTAGGTGAGAGAGTCTGTGATAAGGTAACATTACCAAGTTACTGTTCCAGAGGTTTGGAATCCCTAGTGGCTGGGACAGTGTGGCAGCAGGCAGCAATCTAGGAGGCTAGAATAGCAGACTGAGAGATCACATCTTGAACCATAAACACTAAGCAGAGAGGGTACAGGAAGTAAGGCAAGACCTTAAGCACTGAAAACCCTTCCTGGAGGAAGCAACAAATTTCTGCCAAGGCTATACCTACCTCTCAAACTGCCCCAAACACAACACCAGCTTGGGACCAAGACTAAGAGGACATTTGTCATTCAAACTACCATAGTATCTGTCTTGTATTTACATAGCTCATTTTTTTGTACTAAAATTAATACTATCATTAGGATTTCCATTTACAGGCAGGGAAGGTGATTCATGTAATAACTAAGTGTCCTCCTAAGTCATACAACTAGGAAGGGTTAACTAGGACCCAACCATGTTGTCTGACTACAGGGCCCCTCTCTAACTCTGAACACCCCTCTGTTTTTGTTTCAGCAAATAAGCCAAAAGAGAACTGTTTTGGATGAGTTGAAAATACATATCTCTAGTTTGTGTGTCAGTATAGATTTGAGGTTCTTTCCTTTTTTTCTTTTTGAGACAGGGTCTCCTTCTATATGTTGACCCCAAACCTATAATCATCTTGCCTCTGCCTTGTGAGTACCGGAATTACAAATGTGTGACATCAAACTTAGCCTCCTCTTTTCCTTTTAATTTTGTGATACTGGGTATTGTCTAGGGCCTCTCACACCTGCTAGTGAAGCACTGTCCAATGATCTGTACATCCTCAGCCACTTGATTATTTTTGAACTTTCCCTGAATAGTCTCATGCGTGCAAGTCACAGTTTAGCATTTTAAAAATAAAACAGTATTCTTGGTTCTAGTGAAATGATGAAACCTGAGGCTATCATTAAAGTGACTTTTTTTTTTTTTTTTTACAAAGCATGAGACTATGTTAGAATGTTTCTAAAATATGAAGCAGCAGGGAGGAATAAGCCCAGATTCAGACACCAGCCCATAAGATAGGAAAAAGGTGGAGATCCTGTGAGCATTCAGCCATGACGCTTGCTTCATTTTTGGTATTATTTTATTTTATGTGTATGGGTGTTCTGCCTGCATGTATTTATGTGTACCATGTGCTTGCCTGGTGTCCATAGAGGTCAGAAGTGGGTTTTGGATGTTCTAGAACTGGAGCTGCAGACAGTTGTGAGCCACCATTTGGGTGCTGAGAATCAAATCTGGGTCCTTTAGAAGAGACGCCAGTGCCTCTAACTGCTGAGCTATCTTTCCAACAGTTTCTAGATTTCTCTATAGAATTCATTTGTCCAAAAATGAGATATATTTCACTCTTTAAAAAGTTCATTCAGAGCCAGTGGTGATGACACATGCCTTTAATACCTGCACTGGGGAGGCAGAGGCCGGTTGACCTCTGTGAGATCAAGGGCTGCCTGGTCTACAAAGTGAGTCCAGGATAGCCAGGGTTACATAAACTTTTCATTACACAAGTATTGTATGCAACTTTTAATGGCATCATCACACCATTCATACAACTGCCACCCATGGCTACTTAATTTAAATAAAAAATTTAATAATCTGTTTGTTTGTTTCGTTTTGTTTTGTTTTTCAAGAAGGGTTTCTCTGTATTGCTTTGTTTTGGAGCCTGTCCTGTCCTGGAACTAGCTCTGTAAACCAGGCTGGCCTCGAACTCACAGAGATCTGCCTGCCTCTGCCTCCCCTGCTGGGATTAAAGGCGTGCACCACCATCACCTGGCTAATTTAATAATTCTTACCCCCATTTAAGCTCTATTAGTTGATGGCTCACATCTGTAACCCTAGCACTCAGGAGGCTGGGGTAGAATTGCCATGAGATCCTGACCAGCACAGAATGAGTTCTGAGTCATCTAGGGCTAGCGTGAATGAGACCCTGACTAAATAAATAAATGCTGTTTTGTACAGCAAGTTCTCAAGAAAGGATATGGAATCTGGAGCCAAACACCTAGGTGCCTGTGTGAACTGGAGCAATTTACACAACTTCTGTGTCTCTTTACCCACAAGTGAGCTGAGATGAATGTCAGTTACTGTGTACAAGGGCTGAGAAGATGAACTGAGAATGCAGATAGATATGATTTCATAGAAATATTGCTTCACAACTTCCTGAGCTAACCTGACTCTTCAGGGACTGAGTCCAAATCAGCAAATGATTCATACCAAGATTTTGCCTGAATATAGAAGTCTGAAACATCTCATTTCCTGTTAAAACTTCAGTGCACAGTTCAGTAACCACCTTGTAGGGAAACATCTCCTTGAAGTTTAATAATCACATTGCTCTAGCTCTGGAGACACAGCCTCTAGGTTTCATCCCCAACAATTCAGGTGCCACAGTGGGGGGGGGGCAATTATGTCATTCAGTTTTTATTAGTGCAGTGAAAAAGTTTGCCTTTGAAACAGTAAATAAAAAGGCTGTGTACACCAAAAAAATAAAAGAAACTATGCAAAGTGCTGTAGTGGAGTGAGATCAGACGTGACTGTGCAGGGCTGAAACAAATCATTGCTTGCTGCAAGAATTTTCCTCAAGATGACAGCAGGTTCTCACAGCTTCACTATTTTAAGAACCCCTGCATTTTCACAGCGGCCTCCCCCATCTACTATCTCAATTCAGCACCCCAATGATCTGCCTGTTAACAAGTATGTATATCATCAAAGAGCGTGAGCAGAAACAAAGACGAGTTCAAGGAGAAGTCCTTTCGGGGTTCCCCACTCACACCCCTCCTTTCTCTTTTGCAGGTTTCCTCCAGCCGTGGATGCCTTTGACAGTATGACTGCAGAGGATTCCACCACAGCCATGAACAGCGATCCAACAGTGGGGTCTTCCTCCAAGGTGCCAGAGGGCGTGGCGGGCGCGCCCAATGAGGCTGCACTGTTGGCTCTGATGGAACGCACTGGCTACAGCATGGTACAGGAAAATGGGCAGCGCAAGTATGGTGGGCCCCCACCCGGCTGGGAGGGCCCGCATCCCCAGCGAGGCTGCGAGGTCTTCGTGGGCAAGATCCCGCGTGATGTGTACGAAGATGAGCTGGTGCCTGTGTTCGAGACAGTAGGCCGTATCTACGAGCTGCGCCTCATGATGGATTTCGACGGCAAGAACCGTGGCTATGCCTTCGTCATGTACTGCCACAAGCACGAGGCCAAGCGAGCTGTTCGTGAGCTCAATAACTACGAGATCCGCCCGGGCCGCCTGCTGGGCGTGTGCTGCAGCGTGGACAACTGCCGCCTCTTCATCGGTGGCATCCCCAAAATGAAGAAGCGTGGGGAGATCCTGGAGGAGATCGCCAAGGTCACCGAGGGCGTGCTCAACGTGATCGTGTATGCCAGTGCCGCAGACAAGATGAAAAACCGAGGCTTTGCCTTCGTGGAGTATGAGAGCCATCGTGCTGCAGCAATGGCTCGCCGCAAGCTCATGCCGGGTCGCATCCAACTGTGGGGCCACCAGATCGCTGTGGATTGGGCTGAGCCAGAGATCGATGTGGACGAGGATGTGATGCAGACGGTGAAGATCCTCTACGTGCGCAACCTCATGATCGAGACTACTGAGGAGACCATCAAGAGGAGCTTTGGCCAGTTCAACCCAGGCTGCGTGGAAAGGGTCAAGAAGATCCGCGACTATGCCTTTGTACACTTCACTAGCCGTGAGGACGCAGTGCACGCCATGAACAACCTCAATGGCACAGAGCTGGAAGGCTCCTGCTTGGAAGTCACGCTGGCCAAGCCTGTGGACAAGGAGCAGTACTCCCGCTACCAGAAGGCAGCCAAGGGTGGTGGTGGCTCAGCAGAAGCGGTAGCCCAGCAGCCCAGCTACGTGTATTCCTGTGACCCTTACACGTTGGCCTACTATGGCTACCCCTACAACGCGCTCATCGGGCCCAACAGGGACTACTTCGTGAAAAGTTAGTGGAGACTCTTCTCTTGTGGGCCCCCTGGGTGTCTGCCCCCCCCCCCCACACACAGACACGAGGGTCAGATTAAACGTGGCTACAATTTACTAGGCCCTACCTTTTTAGGTTGAGGTTCTAAGAGCTGATTCACAAACACTATTGTAGTATTGAGAGAAGCATCCATCCCTCTAGGTGAGCAGTCAAGTCATTGGGACACTGTCGCTTGCTGTGGCCTAACCCATGTGGACCAGGTCTGCCTATCAGAGCTCAAGTTAAACTTTGCTTTTTAGCCCAGGCTTGGTAGTGCCAGGCCTGTAATCCCAGCATTCTAAAGGAGAGGCAAGAGGAATCCTAGTTGGAGGCCAGACTGGGCTGATGCTTCTGAAGTTAAATGAAGTCACGGTCACTGAGTATAGGCTAATCATGACACTAGAAAACAACATGCCTTTTTTTCTTAAGCACAAAACAAGGAGGGAAGACAGGCATATATATCCCTTTCCAGATCTAACTGTTTTACCCTCTATCACTGAAGTTGCAATTACAACCCTGGGAACTCCCCTTGCACAAAGCAAGCAGATTAGAATGACAAGTAGATCAAAACAGAAGCATCTTGTTAGCCGCCCCCCCCCCAATTAGTTCAGAGTTGTGGCCATCTGCCACTTAGACAGAGGGTGGACTAAAGGCCCCCCAACGGTCACTGTTGCTGGCTCATCCTTTTTTGTGTTGTATTATAAGCAGGCAGCGTAAGAGGCCGAGGGCGAGGTGCAGCTGGAAACAGAGCCCCAGGGCCCAGGGGTTCCTACCTTGGAGGATATTCTGCTGGCCGTGGCATATATAGCCGATATCACGAAGGCAAAGGCAAACAGCAAGAAAAAGGATATGAACTTGTGCCAAATTTGGAAATCTCTACTGTCAGTCCAGTTGCCATTAAACCTGGTGCAGGTCAGTATAAGCCAGCACAAATGTGTCATTTGGCCCTAAACCCCAACCCTCTCTTTCAAGTGAGCCAGTCTTCCTGGCTCTTAACTCCATCTGCATATGGATTCTTCTTCCCCTTCTGCAAAAAAGAAGGTCTGTGTATAATTCCTCCACCTCCCACACCTGGACCTTATAGAATTTAGGAGACTGGTCTAGTCCAGGCCACATTCACATTAGACTGTCAGGGAGTTTTCAGGCAGGTGTTACCTGCCAATAATCTGGCTATTTCTCTGTCTGTGACCAATAAGGCAGAGCCAAGAGAGAGGTGAGGAAAGGGTGGGAGGGAATGAAGTGCCCTGCTTCTTCTGTTACCTGGAACCTGTCTTCCTTGTGAATATATGTAAACACTCCATCACTGAGCTGTGTCCCATCTTTGCTTCAGCCACCAGAAAGCAGGGGGCACAGGGACCACCAGTTCTCAGAGAAAGTAGAAGCGTCTCTTCTAGCCTATAGTTCCAGTTTTCCCACGATGGTCTGGCAGACACCAAGACTTGTCGATGAGGCAGAGGTGAAGGTCTTTAAGCTGGGTTCATAGATTAAGAATTGAGATAGATGCTCAATCCATTGAGCCAGGGGGCCTTGACCTTTGCTTTTACTGCCAAAAAAAAAAAAAAAAAAAAACTTACCAGTACATTGGTCTTTTGGTCACCCACTGTGAGGAAAGATAGTTTTAACTGTGTTTAGTGAGTTTGGCAAACCCATTATATGCAGAATCTCCAGACGATAACTTCTGAACCCATGGAGACTCCCTTCCATGGTTAACGTGAATGAATTTCTTCCTGGCCTCTTGGCCTCACTGAGAGTAGGAGGGAGACTTTTGAAGGTCACCTGCTCCTTTGCTGATTGCACACTCCTTTTCCTAGTTAAGAGGCAAGGAAATGGTAGTTTGGAACATAGGTTTAACATGTTGAAGGAATCCAGTGGTACCTGAGGAAATAGCCCTGCAATCTTGGCAATACAGTGACTTCCGTCATTGGGATGCCTTTGAAACGCCATTGGCACTGAACAGTCTTTAGCCATATGGAAGTCCTGGGTGTAGAGAGTTCTTGTAGCCAAAACAATGAAGTTAGCTATTCTGTATAGCCCCCACATGGCTTCAACTAGTAGTCCTTTGGTATCACTTGAAGGTACATCTTTGTCCTTCTGAGAGATACCAGGGCAGTGTCAATACATTTGGGCACAAAACTGGTCAAAGATTTGGTTGGAAAGGCAGGTAAGGATATTTGATATTTAGATATTTTTTTTTCTTGAATGGCCAAGCCATTGTTTATCTTATAGCCATTTTGTCTATGCCTTTGATCATACCCTTCTCTGTAGAATAAATGTGCTTACAGTTGGAGAGAAAACAGAAATGAAAGGATTCTTTGTGTGTACATTTCATGTTCCTGATTATTCCTTCAACACAAACAGCATGTACATACACAATCTCCCCCGCATCGGCTAGCATCTCTTCCTTTTGATCTCTTGGTATTGCACATTGACATTCAGTAATTCTATCTGTTTGAATCTCTGCTTGAAGCAATTCCTTTGGACTCCACTCACAGAAATTGTTTGAGTTGGCAGATTCGAGTAAAAAACCAATTACCCACTCTTGACTACGATAAATGGCTATTAGCACATTGGAGGTTTTTCTATTTCCTTCTCAAATCCCCTCCCATTGGATCTGTAACACTAATGTGAAATAAGAGATGGGGAGGGTGTACTCAAATCTCCAAGCTGTCAGGATGATCTCTTACCTCCACCTGCTTCTTAAAATATTGTGAAAGTGAGGAGGGCTTTGTGGGGTGAGTGATGTCAGAGAATAAGCAGCCTGCACACTCACACTCGTTAGGAAATGTCAGTGTAGAGGCCTCACTCGAAATGCTCCTTCCACAATGATCTGCAGAGAAGCTCCATCCCGACATGGTGCTAAGCCAAGCAGAGCAATGCGCACGTGGGAGGTGCATGGCTGTGAACCTGGCTCTTAAATGCCAGCATGTGAAGGGTCTTCCTCAGTGACAGCAAATGACAAACCTGTCTTCTTCCTGCCTCTCTTGCAGTGGCCATCCCTGCCATCGGTGCCCAGTACTCCATGTTCCAGGCAGCACCAGCCCCTAAAATAATCGAAGATGGCAAGATCCACACAATGGAACACATGATCAGCCCCATTGCCGTGCAACCTGACCCTGCCACTGCCGCTGCTGCCGCCGCCGCAGCTGCCCATGCTGCTGTTATTCCTGCAGTATCCACACCGCCACCTTTCCAGGTAAAGAGTCTATGGCCACTGTCATTTATGTATGAAGCCCCTCTCAATCGTAGACTCATTAGTATTCAGTACTGAGACTATACTCTGTATAATGATACTTTAAAAATATTTAATGTAAAATAACAGGAAAGAAATGTTTAGCTCTATGAAGATTGTTTTTTAAGTTTAATACACACACACACTCACACACACACAGTATGGCTCAGCAGATAAAGGTGCTTGATTCCAAACCTGATGACCTGGGTTCAGTCCTTAGGACCCACCTGGTGGAAGGAGAGAGACAACTCTGACTCCCCTCTACCTGTGCCCTGTGATGCACATCCTCCCCTACCCCCATGCACAACAAATATGTCCATATGGACATGTAATTCATGATTTTTATTCATTCGTTCGTTTATTTTCAAGACAGGGCTTTTCTGAGTGTAGCCCTGACTGTTCTGGAACTTGCTCTGTAGATCAGGCTGGCCTTGAACTCATAGAGATTTTACTGACTCTGTCTCCCGAGCGCTGGAATTAAAGGCATGCACCACTATGCCCAGCAATTCATGAGATTTTTAAAAGCTGGAGTAGATATAGAAAAGCCTGCTCTCCTCCAACAATGTCTCACACTGTGATTGCTCTCTCTTTCCAAACTGATCCTACCTTTTTGCCCCTTTCCCTAGTTAGCTCATAGTATGTGACACTTCTTCCCCTCATCTCCTGTCTCACCCAGCCTTTCCAAATTCCCTCTCCTGGACCTCTCATTAATACAATACTCTGTATTCTGACTGCCTGTTCTTTCTTTCTTGGAAAGCTGCCCTCTAGGCCGAAGTGTCTTCATTGTGCACACGAGGAAGGTATCTGTTAACTAAGTGGGGGGGGGGGGGAGAGAATCTTAAAACTCTCTGAATGAGTGAATCAAAAGTGCGAATGCCCCGGGTTTCCTCGTCTCACTGAATGAGAAATATCCATGATGTGAGCTTTGAACAGCAGAAATTCCTATCTGTGCTAGAGTCCTACAAAGTTCCTGTTATTGGGGCTGGGCTGGGGTTGCAGAATCCATGGTTTGTACAAATGTCTCAGTGATTACGAATGGCCAGGCGCCTGAATCACCACTGCCCTTTCCCACTGTAAACTAAGAGTATTGACTGCTTCATTCAGAAATTATTCATTCATCAGCATGTCACTAAGTAAAATTTTTTGAACTTAGAACCTTTTGTTTGTTTTGTTTTATTTTTGAGACAGGGTTGAAATATATAGCCCAGACACACCCAAGACCTCTTAAAAAATCATTTTTTATAAATGTCTCACACTGTGTAAGATTTAAGTTTACAAGGCTGGAGAGATGGATGGCTCAACAGTTAGGAGTAGATACTGCTTTTTCAGAGGAGTCCCAGGTTGAGACACAGGGTCACTATGTAGTTCAGGATGGCCTGGAATTCATAGAAATCCACCTGCCTCTGTCTGCCTCCTGAGTGTGGAGTAAAGGTGTATGTCATCACACCAAGGTTTTGATGACTTCATAAAACCATACAAATAAGCCACTAAGAACAGTGCCTGGAAGACTAGAGCCTCCCAGTTAGGCTCATCATTACTGTAGCAATTTTATTACAGTTAGAAAACAATTCTTAAATTCTTTTGAACATAATTTTGTGACTCTGAGTTCTAGATTTTGTGTGTGATAGCGATGACTAGATCTGTTATAAGAATCTAGGAATTCCAGTAGTTCGGAGGTGAAGGCAGGGAGGTCAGGCCTTGGGAACCATCACTAAGATACAGTTCATTGGAGGCCAGACTGTGCTACAAGAGACCCTGTCTCAAAAACAACAGGAGGAGGGGAAAAAAAAAAGAAAGAAAGAAAAGAAAAAAACAGGAAGCTGTCACACCTGGTGGCACAGGCGTGTAATCCTAGTTACTTGGGAGCCAAAGCAGGATAATTGAGAGTTCAAAGCTTGCCTGGACTACAGAGGAAGTTCAAAGCTAGTCTGGATGACTCAGATTCTATCTCAAAAAACAAAAGGTTAAATATTCATTAATAATAAAAAATAAAGCAAGTAAGCTGTGGCTCGTTTGCCTAGTATGTATGAGGTGTTCTAGGTTCATTCCACAACACTGAAAAGGAAAACCTATGAAGAGTTGCCTTTAAAATGTATTTTTCCATTTCTGAAGGAAGAGTAAGGCCCAGAGGAGAAACCAGCATTGAGTTCAGGTCATTCTGTGGAACGTGAGGGTTACCAATTACTTTAGCCACTGTGTGGTAGTTTATTTTTACCTTAAATCCATGACAAACCCTTAGATAAATGTCAGCCCTCACAGCGTCCCCCCCAATTTGTTATGGACACGGGTGTATTGCACTTTTAAACAGAAAGAGGAACAACCCAGGTCCAGTTAAAATTAGTGTTCTTAAGGTAGGTTCCCAGCACCGCCATCACCTCTCTTAGTGGTCTGGCTGAATGTAATGACCAATAGAAGACCCCAGCATATTACAACTCTGGCGCAACCTCAGCCTCCAGATTTGACCCAGGTCTGAACACTGAATTTGATGAACACATCGTACAGTACCTCGGATATGAGATTTTGCTCTGCCTAATCTCTTTCTCTTTCAGTAAATGTCACTGTCCTTTCTGCTTCTCTACCTAGACCTTCTCTCCCCCCCCCCCCCGGGAGTGCTCATCTTCTCTCCCTTCCTCCTGGGGTACTCATTGTTAAAGGAGATGATGAACCTACACGTGCATTCAGGAAGAATTTTTTCCCCTCTCTCTCAGGGCCGGCCAATAACTCCTGTGTATACCGTGGCACCAAATGTTCAGAGAATTCCCACTGCTGGCATCTATGGGGCCAGCTACGTTCCCTTTGCTGCTCCTGCTACTGCCACGATCGCCACACTACAGAAGAATGCTGCGGCCGCCGTGTACGGGGGCTATGCTGGCTACATACCTCAGGCCTTCCCCGCTGCTCTCCAGGTGCCCATCCACGACGTCTACCAGACTTACTGAGACCAGAGCCAAGACAAGCCACCAAACATCGCTGAAGGAACACTTTATTATTTATGAAGAAAGAACGTGTCAGATTGGCACACATGCAAAACCTGCAAGTGAAGAATGTTAGCGAATATCACATCGAAATATTTTATATCCATGAAGTTTTCACACTTTTTTTTTTTTAAAGACTTTTCAACTTAGCAGGCCTGCGTTCATACATTTCTAAGAGACTTGCAACGCCTCATGCCTTAATACCATCTTATAAAATTTGTATGCTCTACTGCATTTGTACAGAGGTTTGGTTTTGTTTTTTAAGGATATATTTTCAGTATGAAGGTTATTTTCTTAACTTCTGCACTCCAGAGATTTCTATTTTGTAGAACCTTTCAAAATATATCAGCTATATATATATATTATAAAAAAAAAAAAAAGCACATCCAAGCATCTAGGGAACTATTTTTAAAACTATATTCAATATTTAAAGATACAAACTGTAGTGCTTTGAAATGCTACATAAAACCTTATTTTTAAAGGTGATGCTGGAAAGTGCAATTTCAAAATGAGTAAAAATCTCTGCTGTATTCCCTGGCATTAAGGGTTGAGGGTATTGCCATGTATTCTCATCATGGTTTCTGTTTTGTGGGTTGGTTTTGCTTTGTCTTGTTTTAGTAACAATCGTTACACCCAGAGTCCCAACACTGGAAAGCTCTCACCCTGTTTCATTACCTCGGGCTTACTCTCCCTGGGTCTTTGTTGGCTATCCCAGCACCCCCCCCCACCCGCCCCTCCTCCTTCCCTACCTCCAGTACAACTTTTATTCTGAGAAGGACAACTGATGCCTTTTATATACTTCTTCCTTGGATTTTGTTAGGGTCTTTTAGTTTGTTTGAAGGTATTACCTTCTATATGTGTTTTCAGTAGCAGAGTACATGTAAGGACAAAATTTTACCATGTTTCCATAAGACATCTTTGCATAGCTATTTAATTGTTCAGTATGTAACTTTCTAATGCTTTTATTTTTGAAGTCTGAGTTTTTAGAGACCAAGAATGTATAGATAAGACCTTCAAGATTGGCTAACAGGAAGTTAAGCTTCTAGCTGCCTTCTTGTGTTTCTTGCAGAATGTCTGCCATCATCAGGAGTGTTGGAAGCATTGTGTTTGTCAACAAAGCTCCCCTAGGTTGCTTTGCATTTGGTAGATGAACATGGGGCATATGAATCCAGGAGGAGGAGCAACCTGTAGGAGTCAAAGGGGAGCTTGTGAATAACTTCTGATGCTTGCTTGTAGTCCTTTTGTGTTGCCAAAGTTCATGGTATCTAAGTGAAATGCAAAATGCAGCCATTTTATTTCAATATTATTCAAGTGTTTGTTATTTTATTTTTTAAGAAGTAAAAACACAGATGCAGTGTTCTGTTTAAAGGCTTCTCTTCTGCAGAGTGAATGTAAAATACAGTAAAATGCGAATATTGTCATCTATTGTATGAATTATATCATCTTTTTAAAAGTCTCAGTCAAGGACGTGAGGTGTGCAATAAGGTGCACAATAAGACACACAGTTGTATTTTATGTCATAACAAAGTTCATCAAATCTTTCTTCCCACCAGAGTTTGCTAATGGGCTTAACTCCTATTTGTGGATTAGTCCCAGGATTGTGCCCTTAGCCAATGCTCTTAGATAGTTGTTTAATTTTTTTTCTCTTCTTTTAAATTAAGAGATTCTCAAATGCCTTTTTCCTCCTTTTGATGAGATGGATTTTTATATATAAGGAGTATTTATTGAACTATTCTATAAAATGGTCGAATGCCTGCTAAGGCCTTAACTTTTCCTCTCCATCCTGGTTGAATGGCATAAAGTAGCTGTGCAATGTTCTGAGGATTCACCCAGGAAGTTGCACCCACACTGACGTGTTGGGATGAGGACTCCATAAAAGGTACCTCCTACCAGGTCCTCCTCCCTTGACTTGTGGGAACGAAGTGTCGAGGACAGTCCCAAGAGGTCCTCCGATGGAACACTGACCCCATGTTCTTGCTGTATTTTACAAGTGCCGGGAAAACGTTTGCAAAAGAACCCAATAATAATAAAAGGAAAAACTGCACTATCTGAATGTGGCCACTACCTTAGCCATGAGCTTTGGTGGCTGCCGCTAAGCATCAGTGGCCCTGTGGTCTCACCTATCCCTACTGTCTCACAACCATTTCATGTACACTACTGAGGTAAGTTTATAACTTGAAATGTGAACTTTTTTTTTTTTTTTTTTTTTTTAGGATTAAGAACAAACTAATATAAATGTTTTTAAACGTTTAAAAGTTTTAGACATGCTACTAGTTTAGTTTTTAGCTTGGTATTTGAAAAGCTTTCTAGACCTTGCTGCATTTACAGAGTACATTCTTAGGATGTATGTGGTAAATAAAGCTTTCTTTAAAGCAGTTTCCAGACTTTCTTTTCCTTTAAAAACTTTGACAAATTCAGTATTTTCAGCTGGGGAGGCTCAACTGCCTGCAACTCCAGCTCCAGGGGATAAGACACTGGCCTTGAACTCGGAGATCTACCTGCCTTCCAAGTGCTGGGATTAAAGGTGTTGTGTGGTCACTGACTGGCTTTTTTGTTTTGTTTTTTAATTATTTATTTTTATTTTATGTGCACTGGTATTGTGTCTGCATGTATGTCTGTATAAGGGTGTTGGATCCTGGAGTTACAGATAGTTGTGAGCTGCCATGTGGGTGCAGGTCCTTTTGGAAGAGCAGCCAGTGCTCTTCACTGCTGAGTCATCTCTCCAGTCCCCTTGTTTTGTTTTTGAGATTAGGTCTGGTTGTGTGCAGCCCAGGCCGGTCTCAAACTCATCACATTCCTCCAATCTTGGTCTCTCAAGTGTTGGGTCACCATGCCAGGTTTTAATTTTTACATCCTGAATTTGAACTAGGGTCACGACACCCCCCCTCCTCCCCCTGTGCCTTTTCTAGATTCCCAGCTTCCTCGACGATATATAAAAGCCTAGCAGGAATAGAAGAGGGTTGGCTACTTCTCAAGAAGACAGACCCTTAGGCAATAGGGAATTCTTGTCTTGTTTTGTTTTTGTAGTGTATGTGTAACATGTATGTCACATGTGTGTATGTGGATGCCCACAGAAGTCAGAAGGCTGTCATGGTGGCAGTTGTGAACCTCCCAATGTGGGTGCTGGGAACTGAGTTCTGAAAATGTAGCATTTCCTCTTATCTCTTAAATCATCTCTCCAGCTCCATGGCTTTTTTTTTTTTTTTTTTTTTTTTTTTTTTTAAATGCTTGTTTGTTTAAGACAGGCTCTTCTGTAACAAAAACTGGCCTTGAACCCCTGATGCTGTGCCTTCTGCTTCCTCTGGGCTGGGATTAACATCACACTTGGTTTAGCAGTATTTTTAAAGACAAAAGCTACGGTTCTTGTTTAGGGAGAAAAGTGCTCATACCCTCAGAGTCACATTCAGGTTCAGAGTGGCCTGCCAGGGACAGTTCAGACCCATGTACAACAGCACTATTGCTTTCCTAGCTGTAACAGGCTTACTCCTTTATACTTCCGAGGGAGATAATACAGAAAGGAGGCCACATTAGGCAAGGATAGATATGATTATGAACCCCAGACTCCAGCTTCCATTGTCTTTGGTTGACCACAAGATAAACACTGAGCTGGGTACGACTAGTTGAGGTCACAGAGCTTAGCTAGTGAGCAGCCTAGACTCCATTCCAGACCTAGGTTCTCTCTAACGCACACTGGAAAAGAAAAAGAAAAGCTTCTCTGTGTTTGCCTAGCACTGTGTTTCCATGTGCAGCATGGGGAGTGGGGCTGGAAGATGGGATGTTTGAAAGTTCCTGCTATCCCTCCCTGGAAGAGAGATGAAGTACTAGCCACAAGCCATCCCAGAGATCATGACAAAGACCACAGTACCATAGGAAATCTGCTATACTCTCACATGCTTGTCTGAGTATTTGATACTACGGATCAAACCCAGGCCCATATATATACACTAAGCACACACTCTAGCTCTGTAGGCCAGTCTTTCAACTATGTTGTATGATTGGTGGTTGTTTTGGCTGCAGGATTGGTGATTGAAGATGTTATTGTGTTTCATGAGGTAATCTCAAGAGGTAGACCAAGCTGAACTGTTTAAGTCTAGGCTGATCTCGGACTTATTCTCCTGCCTCAGCCTCCTGCGCTTTGGGATCACAGCTGAGGACCACCATGTGATCTTCTCTGGGATAGAGCAATGGTTCAGCAGTTAAGAACTACCAGAGGACCCAGTTCAATTCCCAGCAGCCATGTTTGGTGGCTCACAACTGCCTGGTGTCTTCTCTGGCCTCTGAGGGCACCCATACACAGGTGACATGCATGCACACAGACACAAATAAAAACATTAAAAAACCAAACAGCTGGAGTGACAGTTCAGTGGTAGGAAAATAAATCCTTTTAAAAAAGAATAAGGTTTTCTGGACTTTTCTATCCAAATTATTTTTTATTTTATTTAATTTTTGGGGGTGGTGCTGGTTTGAGACAGGGTTTCTCTGTGTAACATCCCTGGCTGTTTTGGAATTAACTCTGTAGATCCACCTACGTCTACCTCCCTAGTGCTGGGATCAAAGGTGTTTGACACTGCCAACCACCTTAATTTTTATTTTGTTCATGAAGGTGACAATGGTGACATTTTGGCATGCATGGCTGACTCAAAGAAATGACATCTTAAATGTTTTTGCTTATCATACTTTATTCTCTGTGTATGATGTTTTGCCTGCATGTTTGTCTGTGCACCTTCTCATGCCTAGTGCCTGTGGTGTACAGAAGAGGGTGTCAAATCCCTTGGAATTGAAGTTACAGGCGGTGCGACCTGCCATGTGGGTTCTGGGAATTGAACCTAGGACCTCTGGAAGTGCAGCTAGTGCTCTAAACTGCTGAGCCCCCTCTCTAGCCTGGAATGATACTTTTAAAAAGATGTACTTTTATTATATGTGTATAAGTGTATTCATATCTACACACCATGTGCTTGCCTGATGCTGGAGGAGACAAAAGAGGGCATTGGATCTCCTGGAACTGGAGTTACACATGGTTGTATAAGTGCTAGGACTGAATGGGTCCCCCGGAAAAGCAGGGAATGTTCTTATCTGCTAAACCATCTCCCCAGGCTCTCTGGAATGACATTTTGACATTGTCACCCCCTTTTTTTTAAAAATTTTCAGCTTTTTTCAAGAATCACCAAATAAGAGGACACACGTGTACCCCTCCATGACCTCCTCTTTGGTATAGGTCCCATTTCTGAGCCCCAGAGCCAAAGGGAAGTTTGTATTTAAGAAGGAAAAAGACTCCAAATAACTATAGATTGCTTTATTTCAATTCCAAGGTCTAAAGCAGCGCTTCTCAACCTGTGGGTCAAGACCCCTTTGGCAACCCTCTGTCTCCAAAAATATTTACTTTACGATTCATAACAGTAGCCAAATTACAGTTATGAAGTAGCAATGACAATCATTTTATGGTTGGGGTCACCATAACATGAGGAGCTGTAATAAAGGGTTGCAGCATTAGGAAGGTTGAGAACCACTGCAAGGCATCATACTACATAAGGTCTTTTGTCTTCCTGTCTCTGCCCTCCCTTTGCTAAGTGCCCAGTGCTGCCCAGTTTTCCAAGTCCTCATGCCACTAAGCATAGAAAACAGTGACTCAGATACTTCCTTCCACAAGTAGGCTGAGTGTCTCTCAGAACAGCTTGGGTTTCTATTCAGCACAATTCAAGGGAACACCCAGCTTTGCTTCTTACCAGTCACATGACCTTGAAGAAAAAAAAACAATCATGTGATCTTGGAAAGAAGGTCACCTGACCCTCAAGATTACAATAAGTTCACAAATCTTAAAAGCATTGGGGGGGGAGGGGGGCTGGTGCCTTACACATGCTATGAAAACACTCCATCACTGAGTTATATCCCCAGCCTGCGCATTTTAATTCTTTTATTCATCATCTACTCAATAAATATTTATTGAGTGCTGTTAGCACAAAGGAAAGACAGAAGTCAGCAAAATCGGCCCTCTGCCTCCCAGCACTGTCAAGTGGCAGTATTCTGAGGTCAGGGTCATCTGCACCCCCACTCTTGGACAGGAAGCAGAGCCCGCTGGCCATGTGCAGAATGAGCAGGGGCTGAGGAGAGCATGTGGTGAATTGCACTCCTAAGAGCTTCAGGGCTGTGGCCTCTGAGGAGGGAGAACAGGAGGAATGAGGCCCACCCTCTTCCCTAACATTGGTCTGATCACTGTAGGAGGAAGTGATCTAGCAGCTGTGGCAAGGAGGCTGGAGTCCAATCATAATGTGTGAAGAATATTGACATTCCTTCTGCTTCAGAATTTTGTTGTGGTTGTTTTAAAAACTGGTGGCCCTTGGGCCAGATGTGGTGGTGCATGTCTGTAATCCTAGCACTCAGGAGGACAAGGCAGAGGAATAATAGCTAAGAGTCCGAGGTCAGTCAGCAGTGAGCTCAGTGTCAGCCTGGAATGTAGTGAGACCCTGACTCACTCTGTGAGTGTGAACCCCCCCCAAAAAAACAGGATTTATCCACATCGATCAACTTGCAGGTGTGACTTTTAGCTGCTCCCTGATTGATTCTTCCAGGCCCCTGTGAATATCAGCCAACCCTAGCCTTTGAAAAAAGGGCCAAGGCTCTGAGAATCCTCTTCCTGGTCTGAGATCTTCCATCCTCTACTCTCTGGGGTCTATAGCAACTGCTTGCACCTACCAGGGCATCCCCACCCCAACCAAAGAACAGGAATGCAGGCCCTTGCCACTCAACATAACCGAAGGGAGGAGAACCCTAAAGAATCATGAGACATACAGTAGGACCGTTCCATGAGTTCTCCACAACACACACTCATATTTAAAAGCAGAACCACATCCTGTATTTGCAAAAAAAAATACAGCCTTTCCAAGCTAATTTTTAGCCACCCTTATTTCTTGGCTTGCCTTACTTTGTTTGTCAAAAAACTCTATTACTGATTAACCAACCATGAGGCTTAAATAGGCCTTAGTCATTCTGAGGCAGGAAGGTCGTGTCTCTGAAGCCTAATTGTTCCTGAAAGGACTGTACTGGAAGTGCAGGGGTCAAGACATGTTGAGCTCTGTGATTATGATAACACAAGGTCATGCCAGTTTGGCTTGGCTGGGATGTTTCCTCTTTGCTGGAACTTTTATTCCAGACTCTGGTGGCACCATGGGACAAAGCTATCATTCCTACCTTACCACCTTCATCTCTACCCCAGTTCAGATCTGTCTACTGGACACTTCCTTAATTGTATATAAAATGCTATGCTGACTCAGCACACACACACACACACACACACACACACACACACACACACACACACACTTTAGAGATGAAACCTGATTCTAAACATAGTTCAGCCTTTACAAAAGAGGGAATTTTTCG